ATTTTTACTCGCCACTAATTCAAATTCCAATTTTTGAATACACGCATGACTAAAATACAGGGCCGGATTTACCTACTTGCTGCCCATGGGCCGCCTGTATTTTTCCGCCTCCTGCTCATTCGTATTGAAACATCAATAAAAACCATCAAGTGAACGTGCCAGCGGGGGAGGGGTGCATAAGACGCGTTTACTCGTGTTGAACACATTTTTTGGGGATGCCCTGTCAACACTACTAGCAAAAGTTAAGTTTTGTAAACCTATCTCTGTGCGGACAAGGCCTTCCATTCATAAGGAATGAACGAAAAAATTATGTAAGAACAAACATGAATGTGGTTTAATGATTTTAACTTCCGCCGCCGCGCCGCGCAGACCGCACAGTGTCTGGCGCAATGCGTGAGGTATTCACGCAGTCTTGTAGGCGCTAAGCGTTTCACGCTGACCGCACTGTGTTTGGCGCAATGCGTGAAGCATTCAAGCATTCTTGTAGGCGCTATCCGTTTCACGCTGACCGCAATGACCGCACTGTGTTTGATGCAATGCGTGAAGTATTCTTGCAGTCTTGTAGGCGCTAATATGCGTTACATGCCGACCGCCGCGCCCATGGCTTCTCCTTTTCATCTCAAGTCCTCGTCATCATTGCTCTCTGCGCCGCGCCGTTCCAGGCCAAATTGCGTGTTTGGTTTCTCTCTTAACTCGACTAATTAAAAGGTGCTGTCTCTTCTATCACTGAAAGACGACAAAATTAAAAATTACTACACTCTCAGGAAATGAGAGATTTTATCGCCTTTTCTCGTTTGTAATTTGTTGTTTCTAAATCCGATATTTTTTTATACTTATATTTAAAGAAATTGCAAAATTTGCTGCCCTCTAGATTTGCCGCCATGGGCCGTGGCCCATGTGGCCACTCCCTTAATCCGGCCCTGCTAAAGTACCTCCCTTTCTAATGAACTGTCATAAATAAATATAGAAAGGAAGGCCGCGAGGTTTTTTTGTTGACATGGAGAGATTTCTATCAGAGAAATTGGTGCAGAGAGGAAAATATTTAGAGGATATGAATATTCTATTTTCAACCAATTTTTGAGAATTATACACCTTTCCATGTACTTTCGTACGCATTCAAAAGTACGTTCCTTGGTTGCGAGAACAATTCATTGAATTCATTCTTTTTTACGTTCCAAATTAATCCGTTAGTTTTCATATTTTTACGGCGTTCTCGTGATAGGACCTACCCAACATCTTTAATGGTGCAGGCGGACGAGGATAAGGGTGTTGGCGAGCAAATAAACACCCCGATAAGAATGTTTGTCTGGGCTGTGCAGCGTTATGATCTCACCAATCACTATTTTAGTTCTATCTCCTTGTTAACTTTAGACATGGTAAATAAACAAATTCTTGAACCGACGGTCTAAGTCATCCTAACTTCTCTCGAATTTTCTAAATCCTCACCATTCTGCAAGTGTGTAAACGAAAATGCTGTTGAAGCAACGGAGGTTGTAAAAAATTGATCATTAAATTTTACCAACCAGACAGAGTTCTCTTGAAGAGCAAACTAATGAGGCAAAATCACGTCTCGAGAAAAGCAAATTTTCAACCTTTTACCGACTTATCAGGAGTCATTTGCCTGCCGCCGAGAAAGTTGTATGATGAACACTACGGGGAAAAATTTTGCATTTTTTTAGGATAGGACAAATGCATTCTCACTGAGTGAAGGTTCCGATTATATTACATAATAATAGGAAAAATTAGACTCACATATTCACGTTGTTGACTTTTATATCTCCATCCTGGCCAATGTCATCCGTTGCCTTGATACTATTTTTCCAATAATATTGCGCAGAATGGCAAAATTTGCAATGAAGAAAATCAGTTTCCACCTCCCTCCTTCATTCTGCAAGCCGCATAAAAAGTAACTCTTGGTGCCTTGAATCGATGCGTGTCAAACTACATTGAAACTGGAGCAAAGGCCAAACTACGTTTGCTCTCATTCAAAAAACCATTCCCATTGTGTGAATATTCACTTGATGACAGTTTAGTAGCAGCGGTGCCAGGTAGCTGATCTCATGTGTATGAGGTAATCGGCAAAAATAGCCGGGAAGGGAAACGCTACTTAATTAAAGTCAATTGTATACAGCCGGGCTCGGTGAGAACTGTTTTGATCTGACTGAGAGGAGTACCTCTTCCGCCCGCTTTGACCACAGAAAATTCATAGCAAGTAGTTGTTTGATCAAAACGCGGCAACCGCAAATGTTCCACTCCACTATCTAAAAATTGGACGTCATTTTGGAATAAGGAACTATAAATTCTGATTATCCATAAAATCACATAGCTGCATTGAGAAACTAAAGGCTCATACGTTGTTTCTTAAATGAGCCGAAAATATCAGTTCTTCATTGAAGAATGTAGTCCAATTGAACTTCACCATGTGCACTATAACGTCTCAATTTACCCACTCTCTCGAAAAAAAATCGTATTCCTTGCAATGAAAAAAAAAAAACATATTTTTTGCAGTTTCTCGTCGTGTTTGAACTCGTTGCATGAAGTTACCGATTTTGTATGCAAATGAAGTAAATGCTGTAGTTGCGACAGCGAAAGTATTCCCTGTCAGAATGAAATTATTCCAGCTGAATTAGCCAATAATATTTCTCTGAAATGTTTTATTATAAGGTTCTTATGGAGAGTCGATTATACACTGTACCTACAGCTCCTACGCTTTGAGCGATAACTATTCGAACACGGGTGTCGTGTGGTTGAATATTCAAAATATTGAAGGCGATTTTTGCGTCCTCAGAGTTTTTGCAGAGGTACACAGTTTTTACGAGTCTTGTTTGGTTTTAGATGCTAGAAAAACCGGTACTTAAAGAAGGCATACACTCTCACTAAACCGAGACGCTTTTTATCCACTGTGTAGTCCATCACTCAGACTTCCCTTCATTCTCCCCCGCAAAATTCAACGAATTTCGAGTAAAATTCAACAATTTAACTTTGCAAACAGACCCTTCGAATGGATTACAATGATTTGCCTCTACAAAAAATTGAAATACACCAGAGACATTTTCGGCAGGTTTTGAAAATTTTCAGCTAGGCTCGTACCTTCCTCAAAATTTTTCGAAATCATAGAATTTTCCCCCGAATTGTTTCATTTTTCCAGCGGCGAATCATTGTAATCCCATTTATCTAATCATCTTATTGCAAAATTTCGCTTTTAAATTTTTGCGAAATTCGTGAAAATGGTTTTTTATGATGCTATTTTACACGATCTTGAACTTTCCCTAAAAACAATTTAACAATTGGAGCGCTGGGTACAAAAAGGGCATTTCTTGATTGCGCGTCTCAGAATCTTTGCAAACGTTTCATGCATTAGGTATGCTTAAAGCTAATGTATGGAATTCGTTGAAACTTCTACTGAATTTTTTTCATGACTTTACAATGCTCAAAATGAAAAATTTCAGAAATTGCACACAAAAGTTTCCTCTCTAAAATATGAATTAAACCAAGAATAGCACTTTCTGCATCCAAAACCTCAATTCCTAAAAAAAGGAGCTGTTCAAAGAGCAGCTATAAGCTTAACCAGGGGAACTGTCTCTCCACGACACTCACTTTCTCCGCCAGTGTAGGTGACCTTGGCTGGCATCAGTCACCAACACTTGAACTGCCACTGCCGCTGGAGCAATCAGAGCAATTGGAAAATTGGCAATTGGCAGTCGTCGCGGCGCTAATCCCCCAGCGACGACGACGCTGGTGTCATCGACCGCGGCGGGTTTGCCGGCCAGCCTGGCGACGCGCGGTCGGCAGCCTCACGACCTTGACCCTGGCCACTGGCTCGTTGTTGCCCTAGGTCAGTGTCTAACAGAGCCAGGAGGTCTCCGGTTCGAGTCCCGCTCCAACGCTTGACGCGACGTCAGGCCTCGAAACCGGATAACGGCTTTGCCGGCTATGGATTCTTCCATAGGCGTGCCATGAGACTCAGAAGATCTTCCATTGATGGCTATCTCCGATTCCATGGGAATTCCCAGTATTTTCACCGTCCTCCCATAGTTTTACTGAGTTCGCGATGTTTTCACCGTGTCACTGCAGTTACTTATAGAAACTTTTATGGGGACAGTCACAAGACTTTATAAAAAATGATAAAAAACCGCGAACTCACTTGTGCTAGGTATAACCTAGCTCCTAGTATACTTAGTAACCTAGTATACCAAGCACAAGTGAGTTCGCGGTTTTTTATCATTTTTTATTGCAGTTACTTTCTTTGGGTAATTTTACCGCGTTTATTCCGCGCTGTCCAAGTCCTGCTCGGAAATCATGGATTTCATTCGCGTGATTCTAATTGAATACATTCAATTCTAATTTTATAAATGAATGAGAAATACATAACGAAATAACGAAACTGGTACGTTTCACCCGATCTAGACGTGCTCTGACTGAAGGTGCCCGACGTCAATTTGTGCGAAATCGTTGCACAACGTTCCGGAAACATATGGAGACACGTTTTGGTGGGCGGATGCAGGGTATATACTCTCGTTTATTTTTTTTTTTTTTTTATTTTTTTTTTTTTTTGGAACTTAAGTGCCGATAAAGCCTCCTGTAAACGAAGCGCCTTTAAATGAACTTTTAATTTGACGCTATTTCGAAGTGCAATCCTAAAGCATCCTTAATAACGACCTGTCTATTTTAAGGATGAATCTGACTTTTTAGTCGCATAGATGCTGCGTTAGAGGCAGTCCTGTGCTCAAACCCTTTGATGAATTGGAAGCTCTTCATTGGATTGCTGCGATGATAAGCTCGGACAAGAATGGTATTTTACTTTGACAAATTGGAAACTTCGCATTGAATTGCTGAGATGGTAGACATGAGCAGGATTTCTTTCGACATTTTTTTTTAGTTAAGATTATTCCAAACTGCTAAATGATATCCATTTTGCATCACCAACTCATCAAATATTAACTTTTAATTGATGTATCCAACGCCGCGAATAATTAATATTCTGCTTTGTGTGTTTTCAGCTGACAACACCCTACGAAACGGCTGTGGATGTTGGATGCGGCTCTGGCCAGAGCAGTGAAGCTATCGCCCCGTATTTCAAAAATGTCGTCGCCTTTGATACCAACGAGAACCAGCTTGAAAACGCCCAAAGGAGAACCAACTATTTCAACATAATCTACAGGTAAATGCCCCATTCAGCAAAATCTTAGTGATTGCGCTCATTTGGACGTACAAAAGGAACTATGTGCATAGGGTTTACGTGTAACATAGTTCCTTTTAGCATAAATACGTCCATTTGGAATGAGCCTTTTACACGAGACGTACTTATCATATCGTTGTTTTCCACACAAAAGAACGTAACTCCATTCCAAAGTTGTACAATTGACTTAAAAAATTATATTTTTTACGAAATTGCAATTTCTCTATTTTGGCGTGTAACTAGAAGGAAAATCAATGAACCTTTCACAATCAGTTGGGAATGCTCAGAACTTACCTGGTAAAAATGCAACTTCTGTAATCTTGTTGTTGGTTATGTCTTGTAATGGCTCTGAATTATTGTAACGATGAATTTTAGTTACGTTATTTTGTCTGGAAAACAACGATATTCCGATGTATATAACGTCAAAAAGCAATTTCGCTTATTATAATGGCTTCCTCTGTACCAATTGCGACAGTGCATGTGGTGAGGCATTCCGAAATGAAAAAGTTCGGGCTATACACCAAAAAATTAGTATTCTGCACCTTTTTGCCCAATTTTTACACCAACTTTTGTCAAAGTTTTGACAAAAATTTTGATTATTCGGGTCATGCACAGTTGATGGAGAACATCAAAATTTTCAAGGTCTCATGGGGGACCCTCTAGATTCCAATGTGTCACCACGGGGATTTCAAAGGGATCCATTGGATCCCAAGGGTACCTTGGATTGGAACCTATGGGTACCAATAGGGTGAGAGGAGAGACTTATACCAATGGGGCAGCTAGAGTGACCGAAAAGAACCATCAGGGTTCCCCTGGTAACCTGTGTCAATTCGCAATGGGCTCTCATGGGTAACCGTGGAATGTTCCTTTAGGACCATTTTGACAGGGTTCCCGGTGATCACAGTCTTCAGATGAGCTAACTATCTTCTATCCAAACAATTGCTCATATTCCTCTAAATTTAACATACACGGAGAAAAAAACTTCGTGCATGGGACCTGAAGTTGAGGTCATATGGATCTCTGAAGTTTTTTGATCATGCATCCAAAAACTTGAGGTCCAACTGCCGAAGTTCGGGTCAGACATCTGAGGTACTTAGGTATGTACCGGATACTTCAGATTTGTGACCCAAAACCTTCGGTATGTACCTAAGAACTTCAGATGTCTGACTCAAACTTCGGCAGCTGGACCTCAAGTTTTCGGATGCAAGATTCGAAAACTTCAGAGATCCATATGACCTCAACTTCGGGTCCCATGCACGAAGTTTTTTTCACCGTGTACATTTTTCTGCCTCCCAATAGTAGAGCAATTACTAATGAACAATTATTGAATGTTTCACTGCAATTCATAAGCCGCGTGTATGGCCCTATAGGATTATTTTTTCGTTCCGAAAAGCAATAACCCGCAAGAGCTCCCGAAAACTCCAAATTCTCGGGCTACAAAACAAAAACGATTCCACGAGGAGATCCTCCCGAAGACTCTCGGAAGTGAAGGATTCAGTCGGATCGTTCCACGTTGCTGCGTAGTAGGGAATTTGGAGGTCAACACGCGACCTTGGGAGCTTGGAAGCGTGCGTGAGAACTTTCACTCGGACGGACACTAGGCCAGAAGAGTCAACGTAACGCGCTTTGTTGTGCTTAAGCCGCCGAAAACCCTTTCGACATTATCTTTGCACCGCACTTGAGAGTGATTACGAAGCTTCTGCAATCATTCAATTGAAGACTTTGTCCCTTGGACAGAGACATGAAAGGATTGGTCACGTTTTTACAAGTTCACGTGATATTCGGTTGGAACTAGACGAATTTATTGATCACGCACTGAAAGGAGCAGTGCTGCTGGCTCAGCCAAGTCTAGTTGTTAATACTTAACGACCGAACGTCGCACGGTGGGACGAGACAATACGAAAGTTCGGACAAAATCTGGAATCTTTAAACGCTTATAACTCCGTTTAAACAAAACTTTGAAGTTCTAAGAGTGATTCCATTGGTTTCCTCGTAAGATTTACTTCCAAAAACACCTCTTTTCACTTATAATACGACGAAAGTAACATGAAATTTTGCAGTTTTTAGTAAAAAAATTTATGTCCGACCTCTCTAATTGACTCGATCCACTGTGCGTCGTGTCGCTCCTTCTTCGTTAGGGCGCGACTGCTTTTTGAGATGAACTCTATTTTCCGTATGAGTCCATGCTTTCCTGGGGCTGAATTCAGTCGGTCTTTCCACCGTGCTCAAGTATACTTAAGACGAGTCTCAACTGCACTTAAGTCCGGCTTAGCACTTCTGATTGGCAGGTGGTGCGGTATGGACTCATCGATAGATGTTGCACCTCCTTGGAGAAGAGCCGACAAAATTCGGCCGCAGGGCTAAAGGTCTCGATAGACGATCAAATTCTCGAACCAATTACAATCAAAGCGTCGGGAGTCATCAGTCTTAAGCTCATTAATTTGCTTAATTTTAAAATGAAAACTTGGCAGAAATGTTTCCTGAGGCAGGAAATGATGAATGGTGGCACTCCATTATGATCTTACTTTGAACAAAATAGTGCGGCCCGTCAAAATTTGATGGTAGATGGTCATCAGTCATCAGCATGTCTACTTTGATCGGAATTGGTTCGGAATTTGATCGTCTGTCCAGGGCTTAACGTAGAAATGAACATACACCACGTACTTACGTCAGAGGATCAACGAAAATTGGTGTTTTACACCAACTACTAATAGACATCGACTCCAATTAGACTGCATCTAACAGACAAAAAGCAACTCAATCACGGTGTTTCCAAAATTGTGCAACCTGTCCTTGATTGCTTTGACTAGGAAAACATCAACATGAGTTCTGATAAAAATGGAGAGACTTACAAAATATCGATTCTTTTAGTTTAGCGCTTAGTGGTGAAATTTTCCAAAGGCAAAAAAAATAGACGAGCAGAGATCATGAAACTTTGTAGTGTAGATAGATATGATCTACGGCGCAATGACATCAAATAGTACTTTTCAGTAAGCAAGCACTCCAGGTTGTTTGTGCACTTCTTTCTATCTGTCTATTGAAACGTTCGAAAACACACTTGCAGCACCCACACGTGCATGGGCAACATGTTCATGCAGACACAACTGCGAATTTGAGACCGTGTACATCGGAAACATGAAAAAATCAAGGTTTAATCAGTATTCAAGTGCAGTAGAGAATTTGAAAGAAAAAACGCGTCTGTTGATTCATCAGTGGCGTGGCTTGTTTTGCGATATATCGATTTGTGTACCATTTAAACCTGTAGCAAGGGATCGATAAACAGGGTGTTCGCAGCGAACACCTAAACAATCGATTCTTTATTATAGCTTTTAGTGTGGGGAAATGTCGATAGTCGATCATTCACGCCTCGGCACTGTCATACATGTTGTGTTCAAATTGCATCATACAGTCTAAGACCACTTGACGGCTCAAGAATTTAAGTACTGTATTAGCCAATTTTCTATTAAAATTTTACCTAGAATATGATGGGAGATTGTGACCTCGGGAAAATTTCCAAATTCAATTCATGAGTGGGGAATTAGCGATTTAGGCGACATTCTATCGTACCTGATAGCACATAACTTGCATTCTCTTAAAAGAGTAAAGCGCGCACAGACAACAATAATGCCTTTAAAGTATTTAAAGGTATCAATACCAAGTGGTCTAACGCACCATCTCTCCCAGAAACTCTTTGATGGAGAATTACAGTTAAAAATGTCCGTGTTCATGGTCACTTTGGTTACTTCCAGTTAATTTTACCTAATTCTGTCAGAATATCAATCAAAAAGGTCTTGGTTGATGGACCGCGTTGGTTAAATTGACCGAAATTGTTGGTTACTCCGAGATATCTGGGGATGAAGAAAGTGTCCTGCTTTGCCATGCCAAGGAAGACCGCCGTATGAACATTCAAGAGATGCCAAATTTGTCCGGATGAAACATGTATTTTTGAGGAAAGTTATAAATAGGAAAATTTCCAGATATTTTAGATTAAATTGGATACAAAATTGTCTGAAACATTTGAAGAACAATATCCGATAGTTTCTCCGAAAATTCGTATTTTATTGGTTGAAATTTAGCAACTCTCGGAGGTTCACACGACGTTCTTCCTTAGCTCCGCAGGGTTCCTGTTAATGTCAACACGGTCTTGGTGCGCGATCCTGTCGTCTGGAGGCTGTTATTTAACCAAGAAGGTTGCACATTTTCAACTCAATGATTTGGTCAATGTAACCCAAAGGGCAAATAATCCCAAATAAATTGACCCCACGTTGAGGTTATTTTGTGCTATACTTCCCATATAAACACAAAATGTCGGTTAGGTACATTTTCTTACCGTGTTCGAAGGAACTTAGAGGTAGTCTAGCGCCGACGCTCTTGCATTCATAGATTCATAATGACCTCAAACCTGGATGGAGCGATAGGCTTTTTCGAAAAAAGACGTAAGAGCCGCGGAAAAGCGATGACGCTTACACTTTTCTTGAAACCAGCAGTCGAATTGCGACGCTAAATCCCGATGCTGCTCGCCTTGAGCGAGGCACTCCGCGTCTGCGCGAAGGCGTGAGCACCCGGCACCCGGTCCGCGCACCTCGAGTTTTATGCTTTTGTTTACCGGCATGAAGCCCCATCAAAGACACGCTGATTAAAACCTCACAATCAGCGGCGCGCTAAAAACAGAACCGTTAAAATTTTAATTCCGACGTGCCGCGTTTTTTATTGGGCACGACCAGTGGGCATACAAAGCTCGGTCTTGTCAACAACCGAAACACGAGGAGCCCTCTCTTAATAATAGCTTAATCAGTGGCATTTTTTTTCTGTGTTGTCTCTAAACACAATATATTTTAGAGACTTCACACTAACGATCTAAGCAATGTTATCAGGGGAGGCAAGTTCAGATCGGAGGTCAACGCTATTTTTTGCCCAGTGGTGGTTGGTGAGCAACTTGTTGCGCAAAAAATCAGCTAAAATTCGCGTTATGATGAGTGATG